CAGAGTTAGTGAGAGGGTTTCCACGTCCACGCACTCAATGCTCCCGAGTTACGGAGTTAGTGAGAGGGTTTCCACGTCCACGCACTCAGTGCTCCCGAGTTACGGAGTTAGTGAGAGGGTTTCCACGTCCACGCACTCAGTGCTCCCGAGTTACGGAGTTAGTGAGAGGGTTTCCACGTCCACTTAGCACCATCGCGACTAGCTCCGTAGGGGATTTTAGTTCAGACGTGAAACCGTGTCTAAGCTCTGCTGCAGTTGATGGCTTGTTGCTGCTCCCTGTGTGTCTAGAATGAGTAACTTTCTGTAATACACGCAATCATGTGTGTGATACTAAGCATGTTCTTAGTCCTTGTAAAGGGTTTCACAGGAGAGAGTATACACGGTGTATACTGTGCCGATATGTGTTCATACGATTATTCATACTTGGTAGTTAGATACAATGTGGTTCTGATTCCCACCTCGTGTATGTTTCCGTTCCCCTAGTGAACGAAACTCATATATTTCTAGAAGTTTGTCTTTCCTTTTAAATTCACGCGTGGGGCGACTAGTATTCGTAACTGCTTCGATGCCGAGAGGGTAGTTCCAACACAGCCATGCTTGACATTGCCCCGTGTGCTGTTCCTTTGTAGAGTGTTGAACAGAGTTCAGGTGGAGCAGCCGGATTCTGTCTCGGCCTCAAAGCAGATGGCGGCCGACATCTGTGTGGACATTGCTGAGCACGCCACGACCTCGCGCGACATGGGCAAAGCCAGCAAGTTCTATAAGGAGGCGCTCATCTACAGGGAAGGAGATAGCAAGGTAGGCTGCGTGATGCCACGCGGTTTGCTCGTTTGTAGCTGCGAGTTTTTTCATCAGTTATATTTGTTATCAACAGCGAGAGAGAGAAACATAGAGAGAGAGAGGGAGGGAGGGAGGGAGGCAGGGAGGGAGAGATAGAGATCGAACGAGAGAAAAGGAGAGAGAGAGTTAGAGAGAGAAAGCGAGAAGACAGAGAGAAAGAAAGAAAGAAAGAAAGAAAGAAAGAGAGAGAGATTGAAGGAGATAAATATTTTGAGTGAAGTCGTCAATTCACGATATCTTGACGATATCAACGTGGCCTCCATAATGTTGAGTGCGATATAGATACCCGCAACCACTTAAAGAATGGCTATATCCCTATGACATGAGTATATTTTCCACTGTAGCTGCTCTCATTCCCCTTTGGATTTCATTTTGGGACCCTCCCCACCATTTCCCATAGATTTCTAACCACACCACACATGCGTTTGCTTTCATTGCAGATCATGCTAGCACTAGCCAAGCTGTATCTGCAACTCGAGGACCTGGACTCGTGCATGCAGACGTGTACGACGCTGCTGAAGAGTGACAAGAACAACAACGCGGCCACCGTCATGATGGCAGACCTCATGTTCCGCAAGAACGAGTTTGAGACATCAACGTTTCACTTTCAACAGCTGTTGGAGAGAAATCCAGGTACATATTATATCTACTCTGTTACCGGCTTTGGTTCCCCATCTGCTACCCACTGCCAACGTTTCACTTTCAACAGCTGCTGGAGAGAAATCCAGGTACATATATCTACTCTGTTGCTGGCCGCCATCGCTGTTACTCACTGCCATCACTACTTTAATTTCCTATCTGCTCCCCACTGCCGACATCTCACGTTGCCTCAATGATAGTAATCCCCTTAAGGTCATTAAGGATTTTTACACATTGCCTCTCATGACTAATTATAACCATCGTTAGCCATCACTTTCCTCGGCTTTCTGTCGCTGTAACGCTGGCAGTGCGTTTAGAATCGCCCTCCTGTCGACCGGCCGCCGCCTGCGTCGCTGTGCGTTGTCACGGCAACGTCGTCTTGCAGATCACTACGAAGCGTTGTCGAGGATGATTCAGCTGCTGCGCCGGATCGGAACTCTCGAGGACACGCCGCATTACCTGAAGCTGGCCGAGCATCACTCGCCCCGAGCAACCATCCACCCGGGCTTCAACTACTGCCAGGGGCTCTACTCGTGGTGTGTTTCTCCTCTTATCTGTCCATTCCTTTTTTATCTCATCTTATTATTCATTTATCCTCTTATTTGTCTATTCATTTTTTTTATCTTGTCGTATATATATTTCATTTACTCGTAGTGGGTGCTTCTCCTCTTCTCTGTCTATTCATATTTTATCTTATCTTTTATATTTTATCTGTTTATTTGTCTTATTCTATCTGTGAATAGCTCTAGTACTATAGCCCGCTTGCGGCGACTGTGCGCAGGCTATAGTACTAGAGCTAATCTGTGAAGAGATGGGATGGGTTGTGGTAAGGAGGCCGAGGTGGTGTGGGCCGATGAGGAGGTCGAAGTGGTTTGCATGAGCTGCTTGGGTCGTGGCGTTGGGTGGGGTGGTCGTTGTGAGGCAGAGATGTTGTTTAAGCAGATTTGATTAATTATCGTTTGAGGTGGAGTCGTTTTGTGAAGTGGAGTCGTTGTGTGAAGTGGGTTCGATCTCTGAGGTGGGGTTGTTATGTAGGCTTGGTTTTCATATGAGGTGTGGTTGTCGTGTAGCACTTGTTGGAGATGTCGTGTTCAGGTGCATGCTTGTTTTTGTGAGCATGTGAAGCCGTGACATCTAAGAGAACATGTTTAGGACCTCAGCCAGGGAGCACCGTACGTTGGTTCTCTAGCATGCTTTACTAATCCTTGCAGGTACAGTGGCGATGCTAACACTGCCCTCAAGCACTTCAACATGGCTCGCCGCGACTCGGAGTGGGGCGACAAAGCGCTGCATTGTATGATAGAGATCTGCCTCAATCCGGACAACAACACGATTGGTGGAGAGACGTTCGAAGGAGTGGATGCCGACCTGAGGTTTGGATCATATGTAGATGAGCTCATTAATTCTGGGCTGACTTAGCTATAGTGTCTTCCATTTGGCAGCGAGCTCTACGCAGTGACTTGCCCACCTTGACTACAAGGTGTAAGCAAATAAGTAAGTGCATGCACACGTGTGAGTCCCCTAACCAGTGATAGATATATGTATACATTGATTCGCAAACAAGTGATTCTTGTCCTTTTGTGTCAACCACCTCAGATGAGTTACAATTCTGGTCTGGACGCTGGTAACAATGCATAATGATTTACTCGTAGTTCCGGCGATGCCGACCAGATGGCGTTGAAAACAGCGTCGAAGCTAATCCAGGAGTTGAAGCAACAGCCGGGCGACGTTCGACCGCAGATTCTTCACAATAAACTACTGATCGCGACCAAGGACAAAAGCAACGTAGAGAGGGCGCTGCAGTCATTCATGCAGATCTGCTCGGCCGAGGTGTGTATGTGTGACTTGTCGGAAAAGAATGTGCGATAAACGAGTCGGTTCTTTACGCGTTTGCTTATGTATTTGTAGGTGTATCATGTTTATAGGGCACAGTAATACCATGAATCTATGCATGTGAACATGTAGCTTTATTTAGTAATATAGTTATGTATTGGTAAGTACTAAGTGTGGACCATTTGTCCTGATAATCGCACATGACTACATGAGTAAACAAGAATTTAGGGTACGTATCCTCCATCTGAAAAGATACCACATGAGTTTTACTCGAATATGTTCGAGATCATTCAAGCAGGCAAAATCTGCTCTGTTTCCATATAATAAACAGGGTCATACTATATCAACCTTGGAAGTTCTAGAGCTGCCCAAACTGATCAAGAAAGTTTTGGTCATGAATGTCTATATTGACTGAATCCGACTCACTCCCATAATTTTTGAATAGCATGCAGCAATGGCTAATCGTAAATGAATACTTAGTTGTACAGTAACACGTATGTTAGGCTAGCGCTTCTTATAAACTGCATGGTGAGTGGTTCACCCACGGGTGAATGAAATTATTTTGGGGTGAATGAAAGTTACCAAAAACAAGAAAATTTAGTCGCTGGGGTGAGTGAAATTTTGTGATAAAGACTCGAGGTTGAATGACACTGAAATAAGCAAGTTTAAGAAGCACAGCCACTATGTCAGGCTAGCGTGTTGTTGCTTGCTCCTGCAGGGATACCGCGACCAGGTTGGTGCGCTGCATGGCATGGCGACAGCCTACATGGTCCTCAAACAGGCACCGAAGGCGCGGAACCAACTGAAGCTCATCTCGAAGAAGAACTGGACGTTCGAGGATGCCGAAGACCTGGAGAAAAGCTGGCTGCTGCTCGCCGATATCTACATACAGGTGAGAACGACCGTAAGGTGACAGTCAGGTAACTCTCCCATGTAAACGACCAGTGCTGGAGGAGTGAGTCAGTGGGAAAATGCCGGGAAAATCCTAAAACCAAGAGAGCGCTTTCCGGGTTGCGTGACTGCGCAGGCGACATTATTTTTGCCAGTTCACATGCTAAAGTAGTGATTGGCTAGTTGAAATAATTATTCTTTTAAACAAAGTGATACATTATATATATTACAGTTGGGTCAGTTTATATATATATATATATATATATATATATATATATATATATATTGCAGTTTGGTCAGTTTATATATATATTGCAGTTGGTTCAATTTCGATGAGTTGGCAAGGGTTGTGCCTCTTGAGACTGCTCTTAAGGTTGATCATCTACGTGCGTGTGTTTCTACTTCAGTCGGGGAAGTATGATATGTCAACTGAGCTCCTGAAACGCTGCGTGCAGCACAACAAGTCCTGCAGCAAGGCTTACGAGTACATGGGCTACATCATGGAGAAGGAGTCTGCATACAAGGATGCTGCCAAGAGCTACGAGTTAGCCTGGAAGCACAGCAACAAAAGCAACCCTTCGATCGGTTAGTGTTGCCGTTTCACCAGTCACGTGCTTCAATTTTACAAACATCTTAAAGTGGAAGTGTAGCGTATAGTATGAGCGTTGATATATATATATATATATATATATATATCACTCACTTGATATAGACGAACAATAGTGGACTTTGCCATCGACATCGTAATTCCTCGTTGTTACTACAGGGTACAAGCTGGCATTCAACTATCTGAAGGCAAAGAGATATGTAGAAGCAATTGATGTTTGTAGACACGTAAGTACACACCTAGAATTTCTGCGTGGAGTTTTCGGTATTGCTTTATATTAAAATTCAGATTCAGTGATTGAGATGAAGATTATCTCTTTTCCATCAATTTCATCAAGTTCAGCTGTGAAAGTGTAAAAGTCTTATGCTAATATAGGCCCTACTGTCCATTTTAGATATGAGACTCCTAATTTTTACGTTTGATGTATTTTAGGTCCTGGAGCAACATCCAACATACCCTAAGATACGGAAAGACATTCTAGAGAAAGCCAGGGCTAACCTGAGAATCTGAGCAAACCGTATACCAGTTACATCGTTGTATTATCAGTGGTACCACTCCTTTACTTACTCCAGTACTCCCTTTCCCTAACCATAGTCCTACAGTGCAGTTCTTTAGCTACTTGCAATGTCTATTTGTGATGTCACCACACTGTACACATAATGACCATACAATTCTTAATCCTGAGGCTCTATATATGCATCCTTTGATGTTTTTTAATTGCACTGAGATTTAATGTTGATGTGATGGCAATCTCCCCAGCTTATATAAATGGCTGGATATATATATATATATAGATGATATTGTTTGACAAGCTGTTGCAGTTTGCATGTGCGTGTGTGAATGTTTGTACATGCGTGCGTGTGTGTTCTCTTCAGTGGAATAAAGATAATGTATTAAAATGTATGCGTAAACTCGCAAAATTATGAGCATGTATAGAGCAGTCTATGCAGATGTTCGTGATGAGATGCATATATTATCCGAGTTCACACGTAGCAAGAAATCCGGTATTTAGCGTTCACACGAGGCAAAATGCGCGGTCCAAGAAATATGGTATCTAAACAGGTCCGGTATTTGATGTAAATACGCGGCTTCCCAAACCCCGAATAATTTGCCGTGCTTGCATGAGAAATACCGGATCTCTTGGACCGCGCATTTCCTTGTGTGAACGCTAAATACCGGATTTCTGAAGCCGCGTATTTTATAGACTGGTCCGCGCTCGACAGTTCCAGTGTAACGCGAGTGGAACTGTCGAGCGCAGACCAGTCTACGTATTTTATCGGCAGTTGGTGCGCATTGCATTGTTTATTTCGCATTGTTCGCTTGATTGTTTAAAGCAGCTCGCAAATACGGCATTTTTGGAGCTGCGAATCAGCGTGTGAACGCTCGGCCGCGTATTTGTCTCAGATTCGGTATTTCGCAAATACCGTATTTCATAAATACGAGGTCTCGTGTAAACGAGGCTATTGGCAGGTAAGGTTAATGGTACGCTGTGAGTGTTAAACATTCTCTTGATAAATTCCGTCCAGGCATTCCATTGGAGATAATGCTGTAATGAAGTGATATTTCTTATTTATAATAATAATGCTATATAAATATTATTACTGTTCGTGGAATTTTTACAGCACCAAAACATTTAATTTTGAGATAGTACACAGTGAGATTTATGTACATCATACTTATCTCTCGGTCTCTCGCTCTCCCTCTTTCTTTTTCTCTCTCTCTCCCTCTTTCTTTTTCTCTCTCTCTCTCTATATATAATATATGTATGTGTGTGCGTGCGTGCGTGCATGCGTAAAGAGAAATATTGCGAGAGAGTGTTTGTGTGTGTGTGTGCGTGCGTGCGTGTGTGTGTGTGAGTGAGTGAGAGGAGAGAGGGGAAGCGTGAGAGTCACGGAGAGTGAGAGGGTGAGCGGGAAGGCAAGAGAAGGAACATGTGCATCCGTGCCTGTGTGTGTGCCGTACGTGCGTTTGTCTGCGTGTGTGTACTGCGCATGCGTGTGCACATCTCCGTCTGCATTCTCCCTTCCCTTCGTCCCTCTCCCCTTTCTCTCCTCTTTCTTTACTCCTCCCCTCTCACTCCGTTCTCCTCAGTATTTCCCTCCCCCTCTCGCGGATAGTATCGCCCACGGCATCAGGTGCACGGTGAAAAGTTAGCCAGACAAATGGCCGGTTTTCAGTCTAAACTTTTTCAACCCCCAAAGCACAAAATATGATTATACGGCTATAATACGCGTTTTCACAGTCACATAAACACACATACACATCCACTAATGGACGCGCACACGCTGGTATGGTCGCACGCACGCGTGCGCTTGTATTAAAGGCGTAAATTCACATTTTGTGCCTCCGAGGGTGAAAAAGTTTCGACTGAAATACGGCCATTTACCTGCAAAAGTTTTTCCATGCTTGACTGGTCATGGGCGATACCATCCGCGAGAGGGGAGTAAGGAATAACTGATTACTTTTATTCACTGTTAATGTTACTGCCTGACACAGCAGATGAAACGTCAGCATAAAGAACCGGCAATTGTTTATTATTATTATTATTATTAAATCTTTATTGCATGTAATTCAACTACAAATACATGTACTGAAGACAGTCTTTTTCACGGAGAAAAAATCTAATGAATGCAATAGTGTTGAGCAGTTAAAATAATAAAATATCTGAGTGATATAATACATTTTGTGATACATAGTTCTGAGTGATACATGTTACATCAAAGCTTTATATTGTTACAGGACTGTGACATAAATCTACGTTAATGACATTAAGAAATCACTTGTGTACGTTGGTAATCGGCGAGCTATAGCGGCTGTTTAATCTGCTGTCGACACTCGTGTAAAACAACTATTTTTACTCTATATATGAATCTAATGTATATATGATGACTCTAAAAAGCTCAAACTACTCGTCACAGATTGTCCTTGAAAAAACGCATGTCCTTGAAAAAATAATTGCATTTTTGTGGAAACCATGATAGAGTTTGGGCTGAACCAGGATTTGGATGTGAACTAGTGGTTGGGATTAACTAGATGTGAATTATGATATAGGGGTGATCTGCATAGTGGTAAACTAGGGTTTGAAGGTGAACTGACGGGATGGCATAAACATGGAAAGCCATTCAGAAATAAAATGATCTTCAGAAAAACCAACAATGAGATCAAACGTGACTGCAAGGTTCACTTTCATACTATTGTACTTTATTTACATATATATACATTAAGCTACATGCACGCCTACAGTAATTTTTCTATTATGCACCTATATGATAGTTACCAAATATGCAGTCGTAAACACAGTATACTGACTGCATGATGGATCTATTGAGAACATATAAATTGACTTGACAAAAAGGATTTGCCTCTGATGCATAAATACTTTTCTTATCATATATTAAATAAGAGCACATATCTATAGTAATGTGATACTAGAAATGCTATGCTCTTCTATATGAATGGCATTTTTTATCATATAGTCTAGTATGAGCTTTTTGTACAACTTATAGACACAAAACCGCATTTAGAACTTCACAGGGCTACACCAATCTTCCTATGTAGCGACATCGTCCATACAAATCTAGCAATGATGGCCACTGAACCAAAAGTTCATCTGCGAAATAATAGAGCATCTTTCCTGACAACGAGAGGGTTTTCACACGACATATGCTCTCTACAAAGATGATCCTAGTGCGTTTCACATACAGCACCTGCAACACATAAACCACGTATAGAATGATAACCCTTGTCCATGTTTGAAGTTTTGAAACAGGTTGAAGTTTCAACATTCCATTTTCAGGCTAATATGTGAGCACCCACATGCGCATGTGCACAAATGAAAATGTACATTATCAGTTAACTCAGGGACACACGCGAGTTTTTTACCGCACTGTTGGCCGCAACGTTGACCGCAATGTTTACTCAATTCATGTACTTTGAGCAGCAAATCAATTAAACTGGTAATCAGAAACATACTCCACCCTCTGGTGGCCGATTAATACATCCAAATATCGACCTTGTACATTTCATGTTGACATTATTAAACTAACAGCTGGATAATTCAGCCAGTGCTAATATATACACGTACAATAATTTTAACTTGGCCGTCTGCGAAAAGCTAACGTGCACATCCACAACTGACGCACATGTATAGTGTTTACTAACAATGAGCTAGGGGGCCTGGCATCATTAGTTATGTGAATTAACATGCCTAGCTAATGAAAGTGAACTGAATCTGAGTGTCCCAGTAACCAATGTACACCTACGCCTTTGTTTACCAATGAGCGAGGTCGGGTGAAAATATGTGGCTAAATTTGTGTGAGTATGAACACTAGCTTCACAAATTTTCCATGTAGAAAATAACTGCAGGTGTTAAATCTTTAATTGTGGGTATTAACCTTGAGTGGGCGACCTTACCTTTAGTAGAAATGCAGCGCCACATATTGGTATACAAGTTCCAGGGCCATTGCATAGAACCTGAAATATGCAAGTCAATTACTGCTAAACGAATGACCAAACAGGTAATAATGCTGATTTTCTCTGTCTTCTGATATATAATATATACCTTATTAAGAGATATAAGACATGACAGTAAACAATTCCAATACTATAAAATTTTAACATAAAAAAGCATTACTTGAAAAAGTCCAGACGAACTCCTAACCCTAAACACTGACAAGGCAGGAAACTTAATTCAGTTTTGAACACTGTAGCTTACTTAAACTGAATGCCACTACAGTCCAGGCAAACACCTTTCAGATAGTACTAGTAGTGACAGTGATGCAGAGGTAATGTACGTACACCATAGAGTTATACAGTTTCATCAAACTCTTGCGCCACAGTTTAGGAGGGTGATATTCATTTCCTTGTTTAGTTGTCTGCTATCTTACTTGTCGACGCTATCTGCCAATCTTATTTCTGTGTATTTTTCACTGGCCATGCATAAAATGAAATGAGGTAATCAGACTCACAACATCAGGTCTGTGGGTGAGTAGAACGGGTATGGCATACACACAGGCATAAAATGTTGAGAGTACAGTACTCATCCAGGACTGGTTTACTTCTCGACTGCGTGGTATTGTCACAATCTCATATCGATCCTAAGAAACAATGTGAGAAAATCATTAAATAACAAGAATTTTTTTTATTATTTATACTATTTACATATTCATATTACATCATTATTAATCATATAAGAATGACAGCGACGATGAAAATATTATTACTACAGAAGTTGCTAATACTTGCTTTCAAAGTTATAACTCTCATTAAAATGTCAACAATTACCTTCTGTGTTATACTGTTCTCAAGTTCTTTAATCTTATCTTGGCTAATATGATCTGTGTCCGCTGATATGTACACTTTGGGAGTGTATTGTCGACCCAAAGAGCTGACTATCCGCAGAATTTCAGTAGTGTGTCCACCTAAAAAAACACCATATTGTCAGTCACTAAAACAACGATGGCATAGTATAGTGATTAGCTGCATATGAACATCATTAGTTGCCTAAGCTTGAGTTTGAATGCTGGAAATGCGCATGAAAATAGTGGAAAAATGACAGTCCACGTAATCGATAAACTACTACTAGCGCTATTATTAGTATTACTACAAACATAAGTATAATACGCTATACTTCTACTTCTACTTCTACTCTATATTGGCCACCATCAACATACTGATGATTGCGCTAGTTGACTAAAATTTAAAAAAAAGAGGAAAAAAGGCCTATATAGGCTATAACTATAAGTATAAGTATTACAAGTAATATGATAATATCAGGAGTGAATAATATTAATAGTGACTAAGTTAGCCTAAGACTAAGTCAGTAAGTGTAACCACAGCCACAGGCCCTTGGGGGCTCAAGTTTCAAGAAGAGTATAACTAAGAGCGAACCGCTTTGCTCTTATACTCTTCTTGAAACTTGAGCCTCCAAGGGCCTGTGGTGTAACTGTATAAGTATAAGTATATAAGTAGAACTATAATATATTAATAATAAGTCTAGACTCTAGTCAAGTAAAGGACGTTGATATTCGTCCGAGCATCGGACACCTGTTCGTCCGAGCAGTTGCTGCGCATGCGCTGTTCATGTTGTATTACATAAATGTAATATAATGCTAGTCTAGGGAGTCGCCTACTCTCCAACCTAACTCTAATACTAACCACAATCTAAATTAACCTACCACTAATTATTTAACTCTAACCTAACTCTAATACTAACCACAATCTAAACCTACCACTAATTATTTAACTCTAACCTAACTCTAATACTAACCACAATCTAAACCTACCACTAATTATTTAACTCTAACCTAACTCTAATACTAACCACAATCTAAACCTAC